ATAAAGGAGACAAAGACAAAGATCCCCCGTGTAGCCTACAGCAGACTGTTGGGGCAAGTGCTGTTAGCGAGTAGCAGCAGCGCCTATGAAGGAGACAAAGACAAAGATCCCCCGTGTAGCCTACAGCAGACTGTTGGGGCAAGTGCTGTTAGCGAGCATGGCGCACGAGAGAGGGTGGTGTGGCTTGGTACCCACGACGCCGCGGCCGCCTTTGTCTCCAACACGCGGAGTGAAACATTGACGTCACAGCGATTAGACATGCCTCGTCCACTGCTGGATGAAGGTCCTCCCACGCGCCGTCGCGAAGCGACCTCACAGGTCTCTCTCTCCTCTCTCTCCTCTCTCTCTTATCTCCCTTCTCTGTCCAGCTTTCGTTCCACATTCTTCGTGAACGCCTGTTAATCTCCACACGGCATTGTGTGTAACGTGCACTGATTGCCTATTAATGTCCACACTGCTTTGTGGGTAACGTGCACTGATTGCCTATTAATGTCCACACGGCTTTGTGGGTAACGTGCACTGATTGCCTATTAATGCCCACACGGCGTTGTGGGTAACATGCACTGATTGCCTATTAATGCCCACACGGCATTGTGGGTAACGTGCACTGATTGCCTATTAATGTCCGCACGGCATTGTGGGTAACGTGCACTGATTGCCTATTAATGCCCACACGGCATTGTGGGTAACGTGCACTGATTGCCTATTAATGCCCACACGGCATTGTGGGTAACGTGCACTGATTGCCTATTAATGTCCGCACGGCATTGTGGGTAACGTGCACTGATTGCCTATTAATGCCCACACGGCATTGTGGGTAACGTGCACTGATTGTCAATTAATGTCCACACGGCATTGTGGGTAACGTGCACTGATTGTCTATTAATGTCCACACGGCATTGTGGGTAACATGCACTGATTGCCTATTAATGTCCACACGGCATTGTGAGTAACGTGCACTGATTGCCTATTAATGTCCGCACGGCATTGTGGGTAACGTGCACTGATTGTCTATTAATGTCCACACGGCATTGTGGGTAACGTGCACTGATTGTCTATGAATGACCACACAGCATTGTGGGTAACGTGCACTGATTGTCTATGAATGACCACACGGCATTGTGGGTAACGTGCACTGGTTGTCTATTAATGCCCACACAGCATTGTGGGTAGCATGCACTGATTGTCTATTAATGTCCGCACGGCATTGTGGGTAACGTGCACTGATTGCCTATTAATGTCCGCACGGCATTGTGGGTAACGTGCACTGATTGTCTATTAATGTCCGCACGGCATTGTGAGTAACGTGCACTGATTGCCTATTAATGTCCGCACGGCATTGTGGGTAACGTGCACTGATTGTCTATTAATGTCCACACGGCATTGTGGGTAACGTGCACTGATTGCCTATGAATGACCACACAGCATTGTGGGTAACGTGCACTGATTGAAATCTCTGATCTTGTTTCGGCACGTTATTTTTGTTTAATTTGTAATAGTTTTCGTATTATCTAAAAGCACCCCAGTTGAGCTCCAGGCAGTCTCCTTGTAGCCAGCCATCTAACCTTCATATACACACGCTGTACGCATGCTCTTCCACAGCGTGTCTCCAACCTGTTCATTTGTACCCCATTCATTCAACAAAAACAACAAAAACCTCATCGTGTGTTACAAGAACAATGCGTACATGATTATCAAAGCACGCTTGTTCTTTTAACCTTTTACCACGAGCATGCGTGGTTAATGCACACTCGATTGTGCCTTGTGATGATTGGTGCCTGTTAGGTGTATGGACATTTAAACACCTCCTGTATTCTTGCCGCGAGCAGGTTAAAGCCGATTTTTGTTTTTTTATCATCATCATCAACTTGTTCCTGGCAAAAAATAATAATATTTAAAGAAGGGTCCAGTACAATGGCGAAGCCAGGATTTTCAGGTGGGGGGGGCAACCCCTCCAGCAATGAACAATGATAAGAGTTGTTAGTAAGTAAGGAGTTGTTAGTAAGTAAGGGCTTGTCCCTTGCTTTTTACTCGACGCGTGTGCGGCGATGGCGCAGCCACCGATCGAGGGTCGAATTCGAACCGCGTTGTGTGATCGGCGTCGCGCTCGCTGAAGGTGAATGCCTTCAGGGAAGTCGTGTGGACTGTATACACGCAACTGCGCACAATTCTGTGAGTCACTTATAACTGCTTTGCCGTTACTTATTGCCAATTATTGACTCAGACTATTGTCCTATGATCTCATAGAGTCCCTGGCACGTAATAATATACTACACAGTGGCAGCGGGGGTCGCAAAATGCCGATTTATTACTAATAAACCCCAATGATCCGATCGAAATTAGGGATTTCGATCGGATCATTGGGGGGGAGGGGGGGCACGTGCCACCCCACCCCCCACCCCTCCCCCCGTAGATATTATTCGCGATCATTTTTGAACGGTGGATGGGGGAGATGCCAGGCACGCGGTTGCCAGATTGACCACCAGTTTGCGTACAGCAGCAGCTGTTCGTAAAATTCCAGTGAAATATCTCGACCCTTTCAAAAACCATCAGCTCGGTAGGTTGTGGTGGGGAGCTGCTCCAGTAACTCCCCGGTTAACGTCGGGGATGCGTTTCCTAAAACGATGCGACGACGACGACGACGTATATCGAGACAACGTCAAGCGAAGCGCGGCCTAGGGTGGTGGTGGCGAAGGGCTGAGACACGACGGGTAACGAGGAAGGACGGATGATGATGTCAGCGACGTGAGTGTAGGGCAGAGGGGGGGGGGTGAATCGACGCAAATCGGGTTAATAAAGCGACGGCGACGTATTTGCGAAACAACACAAAAGGGTTGGGGGGGGATAGATACTCTTAGTTCTTTCGGTAAAGTCACCGTGTAGGTAAAAAATGAAATTAAAATTAATAAAAATAAAACAATAAAATCACGACGTTTCGGAGGCAACACAAGCTTCCGTCTTCAGGTGAAACCGTCACAGCAAAATATCTGTAGCTTATATAGTGGCTGAGGGGGGGAGGAGCCAGGAAGGGCAGCGGGGGAGGGGGAGTTGTGAAGTGGTCAATTACTGCTTTTGTTGTACTGCTGGGTGGTTTGTGATCCGACAAGAACGTGGTGGTGGTGTTGCTGCTGGAACGCGCCATCGTTTGTAGGTAGCCGTGCGATGGTGGAGCAACTCCGTAGAAAAATGGGAAGTTTGAGAGCGTAATTTGCTCTGCGGGTGTATGAAGGCAGATCGTCATTTGGTGCGAACTGCAACATGAATGCACGTCTCTTTTTAAAACGTGCGAGATATCGGGACGGTATTTATTGGTGGAGATGGTCGTAGGAGATTCTGGAGCGAGAGTGGAACACACGAAAAAATAACAATGTTTTTAGAAATTCGAGAGGAAATCCGGAGAGAAAACTGTTTTTAAAAAAAACACACACAAACGCGTTTTAAGTCGGTACAAATCTGGAGGAAAAATCCAAGGAAATGCATGGGAATCTGGAGGATATAAACAAATAAATATTGGTTTTATCCGTAGACATCCAGACGTGGCTCTTCGCCTTCGCTATAATGAGATTAAATCAGACATCGTTAGCTCCATGCCAGTCTTGTCTTGAAGACTCACCTCTTTAAAACTGACCCCCCCTCCCACGACTTATTCTGGCTTTTACCCTGCGGGTTCTGTTTATTAAATCCTTTATATTAAGTTCGCTTGCTTGCTTAGGAGCGTGCAAATCTTTCGGTCCCACTTCCCGTGATCCAATCGAGCTGACATTTTCCACACAGACTCGTTGTGCGTGACAATTAATGTTCGTGAAAAATGTTTTCCAAAATTTTACACTTCTTAGGACAAAAATATTATATTTAATTACCAATTGCTTAATACTGCCATGCAATCATCTGACCCATAGGTGGCAGCCATCTCAAGCCAGAGGACGAGAGGACTCTAGCCGCCGCGCATATAAAGGATTTATAGTGAAAAACTTTGTTTTTACGGGTTATACTTATATGTACCTGGCTCTTCATACGCGGTGGTGCATTGGCACCTGCTGATAGCGGGGGGGGGGGGGGGCGGCGGGGGGCCTTCATCCAGCAGTGGATAGATGTGGATACTGAAAGCCACGCGTGTATGTTTGTGCAGGTACTTGTGAGTACACATTTGTACCCACTACACACGCGTGTGCTTCTGTATGTGTAGAGGTGTAATTGCGCATGGCTACGAATGTTGAGGTGTGATTATGCATGGCCACGGATGGCCAACAAACACAATGGGCGGGGTTACGGCCGTACACAAGGGTGGCGCTAGCACCGACGTCCGCATGTGTATCCCCCACGGGCCCCCCCTCGGGGGCGAGTCCTATAAAAGGTGATGAGCTCGAGGGCTCGAGGTCGGGACTCAGCTTTAACCAGAGAAGACGGAAGACCAGCTAGTGTAGGCCCCAGAGCTCCCCTGGCTCGCTGTCCTTATAAGGGCCGACCAGGGCAAGCCGGTGGCGTGGCCCCGAGAGCCCAGACGAAGCTGGTCTGGTGACTCAGGGAGCCGGGATCCCAGCTTAACCAAGCTGGGACAGATAGCCTCCCCTAGTCCCGTAGTGGAGGAATTGGTATAGGTTAGAGGGGTTAGCTGTCGAGAATCCCTGTAGCCAAGTGACCTGTACAACTGTGTTGGTGTAATAAATAAGTGTGCCTCCGATCCTGTCGTCAAGCCTCCATATATACTTACTACATCTGGTGTCAGAAGTAAACGTCCAACGATGGACACACGAGGGACGACACGTACCAGGGAGTCGGAGATGGAAGACGCCGCGGCCGAATCTCCACCAGTGATGGCCGGGGGTCGAATCGGAGCAGCCGGGGCCGAGTACGCCCGCGCCGCTACGACAGGAGGAGGGGGATGCGTCGGCCGAAGGACTCCGGCTGGCCCACTCCCGCTGGCGGACCTGCTCTACGCCGCGGCCGCCGCGTTGGAGGAGATCACGCGGCTGGGGGCTGGAGGAGCAGCACGGGTCGACGACGGCAGCCGGCGCGGGGCGACGTTTCCCGCCACCCCGACGCGGCTCGCGGTCAAATTTCCCGCCATCTCTACAGTACGAGCGGAGGGCGGGGCCGGCCCGCGTCACGTGTCTGCTGAGCGCCAAGCACAAGCCGTGACATCATCAACGCCGGCCGGCGCGTCAACATCAGAGCGACCGGCGATGCCATGTGCACGGCCCGCCCACACTGTATCATCGGCGGGGAGCGACGGAGAGCGTTCTGCGGCCACGGACGCCGCCTTACAACAGCGTCTGCCGCCTCTTAAAGAATTTGTCGGCGCTGACGGAGACTGGGGCGGCTTCAAGAGGCGGTTCATCGCTCATCAAGAGATGGCGAACTGGTCGGACGCCGAGGCTCTACGCGCGCTGCCAGCGATGCTGGACAACGACGCCCTGGCTACCCTCACCTCGGCGCCGAGGGAAAAGCGCGCCACTCTACACCTGGCGTTGCAGCTGCTGTCAGCCGTCTATGGGCCGCCTTCGGACTGCAGGCAGCTGTTCCACGATCGGAGTCGGGGCGCCAACGAGTCACCCCTGGCCTTCCGGACGGCTCTCCTGGCTCTGGCAAAGGCTGCTTTCCCAAGGATGGACGAGGAAGGAGTGGATGCCATGGTGGCTGAGAAGCTGCTGCTACTCGCTGACGAGCTGGACGTCAACGTCTTGGCTCAGGACGACGCGGAGATGTCGTCCCTGCTGGTCGCGCGCCACATCCACGGGGGCTTGCGGTCCCTGCGTCGGAAGGCGGCAAAGGGGGCGGCCGGCCATGCCATGGCGACCACCGCCCTCCCATCGGAGGAGGTCTGCGGGGTGGAGCGGCGAGGGGAATGGAGATCGGCGGCACCGCAGGCTCGGAATGGACCGAGCCGCCAGGAGCAGCCCAGGTCATCTGGGGCGCTCACACGCTGCTACAACTGTGGCCTGCAAGGCCACGTTGCGTCTGGATGCCGGGCTCCCCGTCAGCGCGGGGCGACACCTCGTCAGGACGCCACGCCGTCTCCTCCCAAGCTCCAGCAGAGAAATACGGCGAGTCGCGGCACCTCACACGTTTGGCCCACGCACACATCCGACACACACTCACGCGCTCAACTAAACAGGGCTCCAAATTCCCCGTCCGTCGCGCGCGATTGTTCGGTAATGCGGCGAGCGCTCCAACCGGGTCAGTGGTCGGAGCTCGCCCATCGTGTCGTTGCTGCGTCGGCGGGATCATCGGTCGTGGTCGGTCACATTGATGGGGTAGAGGTGCGGATTTTAATTGACACAGGGGCATCGGCGACCATTATATCTGATTTAATTTATAACATCCTTCCCGTTCAAAGTCGTCCCTTGCTCCCTGTTGACGTGCCGTGCTATGCCGCTAACGGGGGCTCTCTGGGCATTATTGGCCAAATCCGCGCCACTATCTGCATTGGGGACATTAAATTATCCGGCCCTGTTTTGGTTTCCTCCTCACTCGCGGTTCCGTGCCTGTTGGGGACGGATTTTCTGGCCAAAATGCCCATCCGTATCCTTATTGACCAAGGGTGCATTGAGCTCCCATCGGGCCGACGCGTTACATTTCTGTCTTCCCCCACCACGGAGCGTCGGGCGTTTGCCACCGTGCAGGCGCTCGTCACAAAAACTGTGCGCGTGCCTCCGGGGGCTCAGATGCTCGTCCCTCTTAGGTTGCGTCGGCCGTTTGATGCAGGGGTTGCGGATCGGGGGGTCTTGTTGGGTCCATCTCGGGCCGGGGTCAATGGACCCGATTTGCTCGCGGCTCAGACTATGGTGAGAGGGGATGGGGACCCCTTCATTGCAGTCCTTAATGTGGGATCGCGAACGGCCGTGGTTCCTCAAGGGACCGTGCTTGCACACGCAACGCCGGTGCCCTATGAGGAACCACTCGTGGGTCAGGTATCCACCGATCCTCCGTCGCGACCGCATTCGGACTCTGATGACGGATGGCTGGATGCGCTTTGCGCGGGTTCAGTGGACCTGTCTGACTCGCAGCGCGCGCAGCTGCGAGTTCTCCTGAGCGAATTTGCTGACGTTTTTAGTCAACACAAATTTGATATTGGTTGTACAAAATTGCTGCGACACCATATTGACACGGGTGACAGCGCGCCAATCCGCCAAAATCCCTTTCGGTTGAGTCCCGCCGAAAAGGATCATGTCAAATCAGCTGTTGATGACATGCTAGCCGCCGATATCATTTCCCCTTCCACCAGCCCGTGGGGCGCGCCGATCGTTTTGGTGAAGAAACACGACGGCTCACTGAGATTTTGTGTTGACTTTCGGCGTCTCAACAAAATCTCTGTGGCAGATGCGTACCCGCTTCCTCGGATGGATGAGTCGCTCGACGCCTTGGCCGGTGCACGATTCTTTTCCACCCTTGATTTGCTATCTGGATTCTGGCAGCTTCCTCTGGATGACGAATCGAAACCTAAGACTGCTTTTCGTACACCGCAGGGCCTCTTCCAATTTAACCGTTTGCCGATGGGTTTACATTCTGCGCCGGCAACTTTTCAGCGGTTAATGGAATTGGTCTTGGCAGGTTTGCAATGGGATTCGTGTTTGATTTACTTAGACGATGTCATCGTCTTTAGCAAATCCTTCGAGGAACACCTCCAGAGGTTGCGTGCTGTTTTTCTCAAAATGCGGGCTGCCAATTTGAAATTTAAACCACAGAAGTGTCATTTACTCCGCGAATCGGTGCGATATTTGGGTCACATTGTTGGGCGCTCGGGGATATCCACTGATCCCGCCAAAACGGAATGCGTCAGCTCCTGGCCGACTCCCACCTCTGTGGGAGAGGTCAGGAGTTTCATTGGGTTCGCGTCGTATTATCGGCGATTTGTGGCTGACTTCGCTACGATTGCGAAACCATTGCATGCCTTGACGTCCAAGGGAGTCAGGTTTCATTGGGGGCCGGAGGAGGAGGCTGCTTTTCGCGCCCTCAGAAATGCTTTGGTGGGAGCTCCGCCGTTGAATTACCCGGATTTTTCACAACCCTTCTTGCTCGATACTGACGCAAGTAACACGGGCATCGGGGGTGTGCTGTCCCAGCTCATCGGGGGCGTAGAGCATGTGGTGGCTTACGGTAGTCGGGTACTGTCTCCAGCCGAACAGCGGTACTGCGTTACCCGTCGGGAATTATTGGCCATTGTTTATTTCATTCAGCAGTACCGCCCGTATCTGTACGGTCGGCGGTTCACCGTCCGTACAGATCATGCGGCCCTACAGTACGCCCTGCGGGTTCAACAACCATCGGGCCAGTTGTCTCGATGGTTGGAGATCCTCCAAGACTATGACTTTGTCACCACATATCGTAAGGGTGTCCGCCACACGAACGCTGACGCCCTGTCACGATTGCCACCCACTGCGGAGTGCGCGTGCCTGTTGGGTTCGGGGCGTTGTAGGCCCCCGAACGTCACCACCGATTCGGTCCTCGTGGCCGCTACCGATGCACCTTCGGCTTCGGGTCCTATCGAGCAAGAAGGGAGGGATTCGTTGCTGGGGTTGCCGGTCGCGGAATGGGGACGCCTCCAAATGGAGGACACCTCCCTCCTCGCTTTGCGCCGTCGCGTCGGGGGGGCTGGTCAGGGGGTGGAAAACGTTGACTCGTGGGGGTTGTTCCAGGGTCTTTTGATGCACTGGGATGGAAAAACCCGGCGCCAGCGGCTTGTGGTGCCTGCTGCTTTAAGGGGTAAGGTGGTATGGGCTGTTCATGAGCGGCTTCTGCACTTGGGGGTTCACAAGACCTTTGCCACGCTCCAGCTGGATTTCTTCTGGCCGGGCATGGAAAAGGACGTGGGGGATCTCTTGGGGTCATGCACGCAATGCGCGCAGAGGAAGCCGCCTGCGAGGGGGTCCAACCCTCCGCTGCAGTCCATAAAAGTTTCCCGGGTTAACGAGCTCGTCGCTCTGGACATACTTGGGCCATTTCCCGCTACGCCCAGGGGCAATAGGTATTTACTAACGGGGGTTGAATACTTCACGAGATGGCCTATGGCCTGGCCCCTGGCGAACCAGTCGGCAGCAGCCATCGCGGAGGCCTTTGTCCAGGGCTATGTCCTCGACAAAGGTGCTCCGGAACGGCTGCTTACTGACCAGGGTAGGAATTTTTCTGGTAAACTCCTACGTGAGGTGTGCGACCTCTTGGGTACGGAGAAGGTTCGGACCTCTCCGTATCACCCACAAACTGACGGGATGGTGGAACGGCTGCATCGGACCATCACGTCCATGCTGTCCCAGCAGGTGTCGGTATCCCAGACGGATTGGGACCTCCGCATAGCCGGTGTGTTGCAGGCCTACAGAATGGCTCCTCATGCGGCCACCGGATTTTCCCCTTTCTTTTTAATGTATGGGCGCGAAGTTAACCCCCCTGTGGCGACCCAGCTGAAGCTCTCGGCGCTCCCGGCGAAGTCTAATTTGTCCGAACACATTAAATTTAACATCGCTAAATTGTCTGAGGCGCGGGAAGCGGCCGTGCAAAATTCTGAACTCCGCCAGAAGGCGAACGAGAGGCTTCGGTTGGGGCGGGTGCAGGTGGTCAAATGGGAACCAGGGGACAGGGCGTGGTTGCACTGTCCTCAGGTGCCGCTGGCAACCTCGTCGAAATTGGTACGGCCGTGGCGGGGGCCAGTGGAGGTCGTGCAGGTTTTGCGGCCGCAATGTGTTCGCGTCAAATGGGGGAGGCGCCGGTGGTATGTGCACCCCTCAAGGTTAAAACCATTTGTCGCGCCGCCCCGTGGTTCACACACACACACGCATGGCCAAACGTGTGAGGGTGTCGCCGACTCCCCGTCGTCGCTGCACTCGCCTAACCTGACGCCAACTGTTCCGTCCCCAGGTGAAACAGGAGTGACGGGTCCACACCCACCAACCCCTCCCGGAGGGGTCGGGGGTCACTCGGCAGCGACGCCTGACTCTCTTGCACCCGGACCGTCAACAACCGTCACTGAGCGTGCCAGGACGGGCCCTTGTGATGGGCCCGCCGCGCGGACGCGCGCCAAAACGCGCAGACTATTGTGAGGTCGGCCGTTGGGGGGCCTTGCGGACAATGGGAGGGGTGGCGTCCGGAGTGTGTGTATATATGTTGGTTTTGGGGTATTTATTCGGGGGGGGTGCGTCGGGTTATTTTTTTTTCCTCTCTCTCTCTCTCTCTCTCTTCCTGTTGTTGTTCTTGTTAAGGTTCTCTTGTTCTTGTTAAAAATTACGCGAGGCACACACACGGGGTTTTTGTGAGGGATGCACCTTTATTCTGATTTTTTTTTTTTTGCAGCCAGGGACGGCTGCGAGCTGTACAGGGGGGGGGTGATGTAGAGGTGTAATTGCGCATGGCTACGAATGTTGAGGTGTGATTATGCATGGCCACGGATGGCCAACAAACACAATGGGCGGGGTTACGGCCGTACACAAGGGTGGCGCTAGCACCGACGTCCGCATGTGTATCCCCCACGGGCCCCCCCTCGGGGGCGAGTCCTATAAAAGGTGATGAGCTCGAGGGCTCGAGGTCGGGACTCAGCTTTAACCAGAGAAGACGGAAGACCAGCTAGTGTAGGCCCCAGAGCTCCCCTGGCTCGCTGTCCTTATAAGGGCCGACCAGGGCAAGCCGGTGGCGTGGCCCCGAGAGCCCAGACGAAGCTGGTCTGGTGACTCAGGGAGCCGGGATCCCAGCTTAACCAAGCTGGGACAGATAGCCTCCCCTAGTCCCGTAGTGGAGGAATTGGTATAGGTTAGAGGGGTTAGCTGTCGAGAATCCCTGTAGCCAAGTGACCTGTACAACTGTGTTGGTGTAATAAATAAGTGTGCCTCCGATCCTGTCGTCAAGCCTCCATATATACTTACTACATATGGTGAGGAGCGGTGGTGTAGCGGTTAGCGCTACACTGCGCTACGAATTCCCGCTCACGGCCAACACCCAGTGACGATTATATTATCTGAACTGGGCGTTCCCTAGGTCGACTCAGACTAAAATTAGTACCTGGTGCATTGTGTGAACATCGCCACTTGTGAGACAAAGGCGGCCTGGGCGTGACGTTGGCCACCCACCCCCTCGTGTGCCGTGCCGGCCTTCGTAGGTGATGCTCGCTAACAGCACTTGCCCCAACAGTCTGTTAAAGTCTATACGGGGGATCTTTGTCTTTTTGTGTTCACATATACACACACAATATATATACACACACACACTCGTGACCAGTAATTAAATACGTAACAAATCACGATAAGCACTTAAATGTTATTCAAAATTAATCTTATTCCAAAGACGTACGCACATATGGCTTTACGCATACACAAAGACAAAGCCCCCCGTTGTAGCCTTAACATACTGCAGGGGCAAGTGCTGTTAACGAGTAGCACCTATGAAGGCCGGCACGGCACACGAGGGGGTGGGTGGCCAGCACCACGCCCGGCCGCCTTTGTCTCCCCAGTGGCGATGTTTAGACATCGCACCAGGTACTCATTTGAGGCTGAGTCGACCTAGGGGACGCCCATTACCGGTTCAGATAATCGTCACCGGTGTTGAATCGAACTCATATACCGTGGTGTATACGCGCACGCTAACAGCACTTGCCCCTACAGTCTGTTAAGGCTACACGTGGGATCTTTGACTTTGTATACCAGAGTCCATAATGCTGCATTGTATTCTACACTAATGGAGTGTGCGTTGTGTACCGACGGCAATACAATAGCGCACAAAAACAAAGATGCCCCGTATAGCCCACACATGCTGCTGGGGGCAAGTGCTGTTAGCGAGCACCTGTTGAGCCCGTAACAACGCCGCGCTCGGCCGCCTTTGTATCCCCAGTACTGCTGTTTACATTCACTTCGCCTATGGCTCAGCCCACCTCGAACGGGTGCGGACAATCAGCACGAAGGGTCGGTAGTTAAACCGCGGCCGGAAATCGAACTCGACTCGGGAGGGCCCGGGTCCGTAGCGAGGCGCGCTAACCACTGCGCCACCGCTCCCATTCCATAAACACACATCGCGTGATATCTCTAAACACACTCACAGATCCGCACGGATACACAGACGTATATGTGGGAAATGTTTACCTTTACCTCGATGGGAACGAAACAATGGGGTGTCATTAGTTAACGACTCCGGCGTAATTTGCGACGGGAACCGCTCCAATTCGACTGCGAGTGTCCAATTGCAACTACGTGCGGCAATGGAGCTGCTCTTAGCAAGATCATTGTCACGTGGCACGCGCACGCGTGTGTGTGTATATATAGGTGCTCACTTGTTTTTTATTTATTTCATTTTTTCATTTATTAGGTATAGCCCTGTGAGCCATTCGGCTCTTGAATCGGGTGCAACCGCAACAAACAAAAAAACAAAAACATGAACAAGAAAACATCTTAAAGTGACTATGTGCAAACAGAAAATCCAAGAAAAGACAGCAAAATATTTCATAAAAAGCACCGTACACCAACGCTGTTTACAAAAATCCCAGTGGGATGCAAGTCAAACAACAACAACAACCACAAGACACAACTTAGATTAAGGCCATCAGTCTAACTCTGTACTACAACAAACAAACATGGCCAAACCAATACACTTTTCGAAATCACCAAAATAAAGCCATGAAAGCAAAGAAACAGTGATCATAGGAACTAACAGCACTTGCCGCAACAGTCTGCCCCAGGCTACGCGGGGGCTATTTGCTTGTGTCTTTGCATAGAATGTGTATCGCGATCAAATCGGCTTCGCCCAAATGATTGCCTAACGCGGTGTGTGTAATTCGCCACTGGGGAGACAAAGGCGGCCGGGCGTGGTTGCTTGCCACGCGCCCGCTCGTGTGCCGTGCCGGCCTTCGTAGGTGATGCTCGCTAACAGCACTTGCCCCAACAGTCTGTTAAAGTCTATACGGGGGATCTTTGTCTTTTTGTGTTCTCACATATATATACACACACAATATATACACACACACATTCTCGTGACCGGTAATTAAATACGTAACAAATCACGATAAGAACTTAAATGTTATTCCAAATTAATGTTATTCCAAAGACGTACGCACATATGTCTTCACGCATATACAAAGACAAAGCTCCCCGTTGTAGCCTTAACATACTGTAGGGGAAAGTGCTGTTAACGAGTAGCATCTATGAAGGCCGGCACGGCACACGAGGGGGTGGGTGGCCAGCACCACGCCCGGCCGCCTTTGTCTCCCCAGTGGCGATGTTTACACGCACCGCACCAAGTACTCATTTGAAGCTGAGTCGACCTAGGGGAGGCCCAGGACCGGTTCGGACAATCGTCACCGGTGTTGGCCGTGAGCGGGAATCGAACTCGGGTCATATACCGTGGTGTATGCACGCACGCTAACAGCACTTGCCCCTACAGTCTGTTAAGACTATACATTGGATCTTTGTCTTTGTATTCCAGACTCCGCACTATACAGAACTGCCGTGTTTTATACAAGGGCCGGGTCCGTAGCGAGGTGCGCTAACCACTGCGCCACCGCTCCCATTCCATAAACACACAACGCGTGATATCTCTAAACACACTCACAGATCCCCGCACGGATACACAGACGTGTGTGCGGGAAATGTTTACCTTTACCTCGATTGGAACAAAACAATGGGGTGTCATTAGTTAACGACGCCGGCGTAATTTGCGACGTAAACCGCCTCCAATTCGACTTCGAGTGTCCAATTGCACTACGTGCGGAAATGGAGCTGCTCTTAGCAAGATCATTGTCACGTGGCACGCGCACGCGTGTGTGTGTGTGCATATATGTGCTCACTAACAGCACTTGCCCCAACAGTCTGCCCCAGGCTACACGGGGGCTCTTTGCCGGGGTAAGCATTTACACTATGAGACCTCCTTTACCAGTGGCAAAATATAGTAATAGGTTTTTACCCTTTCAACTGGTACAAAAACTGACACCTTTATACAAGGCATCATGTTTGCAAAAACCACAACACAAGCAGTCAAAAATGCAAACAAAAATAAACAACTCTGATAATGATAATGATATGCACTGTCCTTGAAGTTGATTGGTCCACACCCGAGACAGCTTTCCTTAGAGCCTAGTCTCCATTGGTGTTGGACCAGATGACGCCAAAAGGCGTACAACTCAAAAATAGCGCACTATCAGAGTATTGAGAGCTCGGGGTAAGCATTTACACTGTGATACTTCCTTTACTAGTGGCAAAATATAGTACCAGATGAAAGGGTAAAAACCTATTACTATATTTTGCCACAGGATGTGTCCAGTTTCAGTTTCATTTATTATTTTTCAGTTTAATTTATTAGGATTTACCTTGTGAGCCATTCGGCTCTTGATTTGGGTTCAACCGCAACAAACAATAAAATTACAAGATACACATAAAATTAATTGTACACAGATCTAAACATCACGTACGTAAACAATAAAATCCTACAGAAAAAGCACAACCCGTCCATGCTGCGTGCAAAAAGTGCAAACAATTCCATTTCGATGTTTGATCCCAATAACAATCATAATACAATACAGGTCAAAATTTTAAGTATAAATCTATACAAAATAAAAAAAATCGGGCCAAACCAAGCCCCTCTAAAACTTACTAAAACAATGCTATATAAACAACGTAACAGTTTTCCAAACAAATGTGATCAAAAATTGACAATAGCGACACACAAAACACACATCACTAAAACGAGCATCCTTCGCTCGCTGCATAAGTCAATCCATAACAGCCGGATTAACAATAGCAGTAGCATCGCACTATAATCAACGACGAGCGGGAAAAAAAATATTTCTTCCTGTGGTTTTCCCACCTGATGATGATTGCTTGTGTTGCAATCGAAACGTCGTGCTTTATTTTATTTTATACCTACGTGACTTTACCGACAAAAACCACGTGTCTCTCTCTCTATGTATCTCTGTGATATCTGTCTCTACTTATATGTCTGTCTAGATGTCTATGGCTCTGTGTTTTATCTCTCTCTCAAATTTAGCATTCTCAGGAAGAACGTAATCAACCAGGTAGGGTGTTGACTGTTATGTTATCCGACTCTCTGTTGTATTACATTACATTTCTAAGTATACTAGATTTGTGTTTCTATTTCAATTATACCTGATGATGGTTGCTTGTGTTGCAATCGAAACGTTGTATGCTAGTATTTAATTTATTATTTTCTCTTTGTACGTGACTTTACCGAAAGAACCAAAGAGTAAAAATCAAAGAGTATGGATTCTTGCAGTCACGAAAGCTTCAAATCAAGATTGACGAGCGGAATGTTCGTCTCTGCTACACGTGGGAGGAAACCGGAGCACCCGGGAGGGGTAGGACACAAACCGGCGAAATGCGAGGGGACAACACTCGATGCCGTACAGAAAAGAGACGGACGATGACATCGGTCACGACGCTTTTCCCGACTGCATTCTGTTGGAGAGCCAGGCCAGGGTATGGCAACCTCGATCCGTCAACCCCGAATGACAGAGCGTGCGTGTAGCCACGACCGCTCCGCAACAATAACATCTAACGCTATATATATATTTTTTGGTTGCATTATTATGATTGTGGATAATGCACCCGCATCGTTAACCAGGGCGAGCTAGCTGCATTTGCCGAATTCGAACGCGCGCGTCAATATCTGCTCTCCTTGTTACTTTGTTTGCTGATCCCTGGCACAAAGACGACACTGGTTGTGGTGGTGTGGGTGGTGGTTGTGTTGGTGGTGGTGGTGGTGTTAATGGTGGTGTTGGTGTGGGTGGTCGCGGTGGTGTAGTGGTTAGCGCTACACTGCGCTACGAACCCGGCGACCCAAGTTCGATTCCCGCTCACGGCTAACACCAAGTGACGATTTTCTGAACCAGTCCTGGGCCTCCTCTAGGTCGACTCAGCCTCAAATGAGTACCTGGTGCGGTGTGTAAACATCGCCACTAGGGAGACAAAGGCGGTCGGGCGTGGTGCTGGCCACCCACCCCCTCGTGTATCGTTCCGGCCTTCATAGGGGCTCGCTAACAGCACTTGCCCCTACAGTCTGTTAAGGCTACATGGGGGATCTTTGTAGCGGGTAGCGCTACGCTGCGCTACGAACCCGGCGACCCGAGTTCGATTCCCGCTCACGGTCAACACCAAGTGACGATTTTCTGAACCGGTCCTGGGCCTCCCCTAGGTCGACTCGGCCTCAAGTGAGTATTTGGTGCGGTGTAAAGTAAAATAAAAAATATCGCCACTGGGGAGACAAAGGCGGTCGGGCGTGGTGCTGGGCCACCCACCCTCCCGTGTAACTGTTCCGGCCTTAAATGTCGATTTAAAGCTTTCGTGACTGCAGGGATTCATCTTCTTGGTTCTTTCGGTAAAGTCACGTAGAAGGGAAATAATAAAATAATACAAATAAAACATAATAAAATACAATTCTCACGACGTTTCGGCCACAACGCAAGCAGCCGTCCTCAGGTAAGGAACAGGGCTGTCGGAAAGGCAGCGTCTGAATGTTCCGGCCTTCATAGGTGCTCGCTAACAGCACTTGCCCCAACAGTCTGTTAAAGCTATACGGAGGTGGGGGAGGTGGGGTGGGGTGGGGTAGGCGGGGTCTTTGTCTTTTTAAATCCTTTATATTAATTCATAATCAACGTTTTTGGGTTTAGATCGCGTTTATTTATAAATGTGTCGTAACCCTCCACCACCCGACACGGCCAATCAGCGTGCTTGCTTGCTTGCTTACGACCGTGCAAATCTTTCGGTCGTTTTTTAATCCACTTCCCGTGATCCAATCGAGCTGACATTTTGCACACAGACTCGTTGTGCGAGACAATTAATGTTCGTGAAATTTTTTTCCCAAAATTTTACACTGTTTAGGGAAAACAAATTAAATATTTAATTACCAATTGCTTAATACTGGCAGACAATCATCTGACCCATATGTGGCAGCCATCTCAAGCCAGAGGACGAGATGACTCTAGCCGCCACGCATATAAAGGATTTAGAGTGAAAAACTTTGTTTTTACGGGTTATACTTATGTTTGACTCTCTTTATCTTTGCAGGCAAGTCCTGGAAGGCTCTGAGTCACTCGGAGAAAAGGCCATTCGTGGAGGAAGCTGAGCGCCTACGAGTCCAACACATGCAGGACCACCCCAACTACAAGTACAGGCCTCGCAGGCGCAAGCAGCTCAAGAGGCTGGGCAAACGGGTGGACTCGACTCTTCTGCTCCATCATCATCACCACCACCACCAGCAACAACATCAGCAGCAGCAGCATCACCAAGAGTTGTCTCAACAGCAGCAGCAGCAGCAGTTGCATCATCAGCATCAGCAACACCATCATCAGCAGTTGCAGCATCAGCAGCAGCATCAGCATCATCCTCTGCTGTCCGCGGTGGATCCGGTTCACGTTGTTTGCCGTCCGCCGGAAACGGCGCTTAGAGACCTGAGCGTTGTCGCCGGGGGACATTTTCAAAACCACTACCACCAACTCTACCACCACCATCATCATCAACAGCACCACCATCATCAACAACAGCAGCAGCAGCACTACCAACATCAGCCGCACCTTCAAGGAGTTCATCACAACAACCTTCCTCATCATCAGCAGCAACAGCAGCAGCTCTTGCAGAGCCACCACCACCATCAACAACAACAACAACATCATCATCACCATCATCACCAGCAGCAGCAGCAGAGCCTGGTGAGTGATGCCGCGTTCGGGCTCCCGACGCCGGAAATGTCTCCGCTGGACGTCCTCGGCGACACCGACGCCCCGAACTTTGCGCAGTCGTCGCCCATGACGCAGGAGGTCGTTCAGGGCCCCTTCCTGGTGGCGAACGCGTCGGGCGAAGGAGGCGCGGAGGACGAGGCGATGAGTCCGCACGTCGTGGGCACATACCCGTCGCACCACCACCACCACCACCACCTACTCCTCCAACAGCAACAACAACAGCAACAACAACAGCAGCAGCAGCAGCACCACCATCATCATCTCCAGCAGCAGCAGCAGCAGCTGCACAATCAGCATCCGCAGCAGGAGCAACAGATGGTGCAGAACGGAGCGACTCCTCTGGGATACGCCACCGACCTGAGGAGGTCGACCACGATTGTCCACCACTTTCGGGAGGTGGACGAGTCTGGTGGAGACAGCCGAAGCGTTGCGGCTAAAACGCCCAGCGAGTCGCTCGCCCACCACCACAACAACAACAACAACACCACCACGAACAGCAGCAGCAGCAGCAGCAACCACCTCCACCACGTCCTACCTCTGTACTACAGCCAGATGTACCACCACCAGCAGCAGCAGCATCATCAGCAGCAGCAGCAGCACAACTTCCATCATCAGCACCATCAACATGGCAATCATCAGCATCATCAGCAGCAGCAGCAGACCGCCAGCGGTTTCCAGCCAATGTCTCGCAGCCACGAGGTCGGCGAGCCGTCTCCTCCTCCCGACCCGCGGCGTTTATACAGCGACGTTGAAGAGGAGGAGGAGGAGGAGGGGGAGGAGAGGGAGGTTGCGGCGGTGGGAAGTGACGAGGTTGTGGACGGAGTGAACGATGACAACAACGACGGTGGTGGTAGTGGTCGTGGTGGTGGCGAAGGGCTGGTGATCGTCACGTCTGTTGGTTCAAACGGTGACGGCGGACTCATGAGTCAATACCTACAGCAGCAAGACGTCGGTGGATTTGCCAAGGGTGGACTAATGCATCACCAGCAACAGCAGCAACAGCAGCAGCAACAGGAATCACTGCCTCAACAGCAGCAGCAGCAGCAGCCACAAATGGCCAGCTTTCTATCCGTGCTTGCGGACGCTACGGCGATGTATTATAGCAGCAACCCGTATGGCTGACGGGACATCCATCCAGCCTCCAACCGGCTATGCCTGGCCACTAACACTGGCTTCGTGATTCCGTGGTGGTGAAGATGATGAAGATGATGGCAGATGAAGTTGCAACGGCCGTCTTCGTTCGGAGACAGCGAGTGGCGGCGAGAGTGACTCTCATTCTTCACCTGAAGACGGCTGCATGCGTTGTAGCCGAAACGTCGTGAGAATTATTTTATTATGTTTTATTTTTATTATTTTATTACTTCCCTTCTACGTGACTTTACCAAAAGAACCAAGAAGATGAGAGTGACTCTGCTAAAGGTGGAATTATATCGAGTTAAAAGGTTACGATTCACCGCGGAGGTATACATATTCGAGGTGTATTTAATGAACTTTGTTTTTGTTACAAATGTCCGCGGACTGGTTTCTTGTAACGAATAATGGTCGTTGAGTTTTTGGTTGACGAATGTTCGTTACGGTGACGGCATTGCTTGTGAGTTCCCAGAGCCCAACTGATGATGATTTCTACCCTCGAGTGTGATGGCAGTAGCACTGTAGTTCAGGTGCCTCGGTGGCGAGATGTTAACTACCTCGCCTGGTATACAGGAGGGTAACCTGGGTTCGATCCCTAACCCTGACGCCTGCTGCTGTATATTTGGAGTTTGCATGTTCTCCCCGTGGTCGCGTGGGTTTTTCTCCAGGCCCTACGGGGTTCCCGTCCACATTTAGAATCAACATCACGCGTTTTAGAGTATTTGGCTGCTATACATTTCCACATAAGCCACTTCGTTGCGCTTTCACTTGTGGTCAGGTCGTTTTTGCAACAACAACAACAAACAAAAAGAGCTGTATAGCTCAGTGGGACTTACCTGATAACATTAAAACAATTGTTTATATTATTGGTTCTTTCGGTAAAGTCACGTAGAAGGGAAACAATAAAATAAAATATATATATAAAATAATAAAATTCGCACGACGTTTCGACTGCAACACAAGCAATCATCAGGTGTGAAAAAACAGCAAAAAAAATTGCTGTGGATTTCACACCTCATGATAATTGCTTGTGTTGCAGTCGAAACGTCGTGAGAATTTTATCGTGTTTTTAATAATTGTATTATTTCCCTTCTACGTGACTTTACCGAAAAAACCAAGACTATGAATCCGTGCAGTCACGAAAGCTTTCAATCAAAAGTTAACAGTTGTTTAGTTTAGATGGCCAATGTATGAGGTCTGCTGGACACGGCGTCAGTAGCAATATAGAGAGAGATCGTATGGCGTAGGTTTCGCTGTGTTGATGACTTGTCAGCCGTGACAATCAAGAGGAGCTAATCACGATAATTTGTATTTTGACCATTCTATCTGGCAACAAAACTGACACCTTTGTTTTCTCAGTTTTGTTGCCAGATACAAGGGTAAAAAACCAATTATCATATTTTTTATTGGCAAATGAGGTTCCAATGGTGTAAGGAGCTAATCACGTTAAAACCAAAAATCGGGGTATGTTTTCGTGGCGTTATATTTCCAGCCACGATGGAAATTCCACATTCCAGTGGCCGGGGCCGAGTCCCTCCGTCTGTCTCGAAACAGTATATGACAAAACATTTTTTAAAAACCCGACTTTGTCTTCCCACAAACTGGTACTCAATTTCGCGACCCTCCTCATGAAGGATTTGCGAGTCGGACGTTCTGATGATGATGATGAGAGTTGGGAGAAAATGACATCCATTCAATCGCTATATCCACGTGAATATACCGTGTGTGTGTGAGTTATATCTTGTTATTAAAGTGACTTAGTCACTGATCAAGACGATTTTTTTTCACGTTTCATACCCCCCCCCCCACCCCCACATCGATTAATCGTCATGATTCGATGCAATAATCGTCACCATTTGCATGCCTCCTTAGCCGGTGTCGATGCATGTACAACTATTCAACGATGGCCTTGAGAATGGTGTTCATCATAATCCGAGTAATCGATTATCGGCCGTGCAACGTCATCCACTGCCCACTCGCATTATCGATATCGAATAATTCGACGCGTTGGTCGGCAACACCCGTGCGTGTTTTGTGCGTGTGGCCTTTTACGTGAAAATAAATAAATATATCATACACGACGTTTCGGGCAGTGGCCCCTTCTTCATGGCACGTGTGACATTCGCGGAGTTAATAAAAAAAATGTTTAGCTAATCTTCAATTCTCCCATAGTGTCCATACTACTGCACGTACCTGAATTATATTCTTAGGTTTTTCGGTAAAGTCACGTAGGTAAAACATTAAAATTAATAAAAGTAAAATAAAATAAAAATCACGACGTTTCGGAGGCAACACAAGTCTCCGTCATCAGGTGGACCGTCACAGCCAGATTTGCTGCATCAAGTGAGGCAAGGATTCAAGATGTAATCCATTGATGTAATACCTGAATCATAGCTGCCAACTCGTACGGTTTAGCCCGTATTCTCGTACAGGGAAATTGAGTTTTCGGGTCCATACGGCGCACAGCAGTTTCAATGCGGGCACAAATCCGTTTTTTGTGTTTGTGTTTCTCCCTTGTGATGGGACTAGGATGAACGTTGAGATTTATAAGGGACACGGGGTGACCAATAATATCTGAATTGCCCAATGTCAGAATCTTGAGTGTATTTTCCGATTTATACTATGAGACCTCCTTTACCAGTGGCAAAATATAGTAGTAGGTTTTTATCCTTTCAACCGGTACAAAAACTGACACCTTTATACAAGGCATCATCATCAGAGTTGTTTCTTTTTGTTTGCATTTTGACTGCTTGTGTTGTGGTTATTGCAAACATGATGCCTTGTATAAAGGTGTCAGTTTTTGTACCAGTTGAAAGGGTAAAAACCTATTACTATATTTTGCCACTGGTAAAGGAGGTCTCATAGTGTAAATGCTTACCCCGAGCTCTCAATACTTTGATAGTGCGCTGTTTTTGAGTTGTACGCCTTTTTGCGTCATCTGGTCCAACACCAATGGAGACTGGGCTCTAAGAAAAGCTGTCTCGGGTGTGGACCAATCAACTTCAAGGAAAGTGCATATCATTATCGTTATCAGAGTTGTTTCTTTTTGTTTGCATTTTGACTGCTTGTGTTGTGGTTATTGCAAACATGATGCCTTGTATAAAGGTGTAAGTTTTTGTACCAGTTGAAAGGGTAAAAACCTACTGCTATATTTTCCGAGTCAAGCCCTTTGAGCTAAGAAGCTATTTTTTTAAAGTGAGATTCAGCCGGTGGACGACATCACAGCATTCGACAATTACATATTTAAAAAAAAACAAGCTTAATAATAGAAATTGTGTCGTAAAATTGCATTCACACTTTCAACATCAGCGACGGTGGTGGCGTTTTTGGGGAATCCGTCGACCAGCAGTGGATAGAACAATACCGATCTGTAAATGCTTACCCCGAGCTCTCATACTCTGATGGTGCATTGTCTTTGATTTGTGCGCCTTTTGGCGTCATCTGGTCCAACACCATGTGAGACTAGGCTCTAAGGAAAGCTGTCTCGGGTGTGGACCAATCAACTTCAAGGACAGTGCATACATTATCAGAGTTATGTTTTTTGTTTGCATTATGACTGCAGGTATTGTGGTCTATGCAAACATGACTCCTTGTAAAAAAAGGTGTCAGTTTTGTTGCCAGATAGAAGGGTTAGAAAACAATTATCATACCGATCTGCTTTGCGCGTGGCATTGCGAGAGGCAGGTGCCCACACGGTTGAATATCCAACCAGCGCCGATGGTGGCGACTTCAAGTAATCGTGGTGATTGGAAAGAATCTAAAGAAGACTCAACTCAAAACGAGAAACGAACGCCCTTGAGCGAATTGGCGAAACCATTCCACGTTCCTATGACGAGGGCCGGTCTATCCCATACGGTTGAAGGTAATCCAGGCAACTCTTTAAGGGCCAGACTAATGGAAATAATTCAAGACCTATATTCTTGGTTCTTTCGGTAAAGTCACGTAGAAGGAAAATAATAAAATGATAAGAATATAAAACAATAAAAATTCTCACGACGTTTCGACTGCAACACGAGCAATCATATTTTATTATTATTTTATTATTTCCATTCTACGTGACTTTACCGAAATAACCAAGAATATTAATCCCTGCAGTCACGAAAGCTTTCAATCGAAATTTAATTCAAGACCTCTTTAATTGAACACGACGATAAATTGACAATAAGTTACGTATTCTTGACTTTTGCTATACGTGGCGATGTTCTAAGTGCAGTGCCGTATTGTACATCGTTGATGTAAGTTAACCCTTGACGATATCCAAATTCTCCGGATTGTAAGACGCAGCACTTTTGCTGGCGCGTGCGTCTTATAAACCGGTAAGTATGAAACCCGCATTCGTCTAATGATTATTGAATGAGCGAATGATACCGAGCACAGGATTTTGGAGGGGAGGGGTGGTGGGGGAGGTGGGGGTGAGGTGCGTCTTAATTTCCGGAGCGTCTTATAATCCGGAGTAGACGGCGATTACTGTCACGGTTACGACGCTTCTCCGCAAATTTACTTGAACGATTGTTCGGCCTGTGGCGTATTCGACTTTAAAACGCAGTCAAGGTTAATCGACGGTGAATTCGCCTCCTGCTAACGCGTGGCGCGCGCGCGCGCGTGCGTGTGAGTATTCTACATATTCGTGGCGTCTATTGACAACAACAACGACAACAAGGTCTGGTTGTATCGGTAGTTATTGTTGTGATTAATGCGCGTTTTGCTAAGCGAGGAATGTTCTGTGTGGGATGAGACCTGATGGTTCCTTCCGTAGGAATCATTGCATCTCCGTGATGTATGGTTAATATTCTCGGTACGTGTGTATCCAGTGCCGGATTAATCTAGGCCCTAAATTAAACAACAAAAACACGTAAATATTCAAACACACATTTTTTTTACTTGCACAGTAAAATAATTGTATTTTTTCATTTGCTATACAGCCAGACAATACGACAAATAGCTAACCTTAAACACCCAGGCGTTCATAAAAGTTTAAGGCGGTATAGTACTATAGTAATAGAGCAAGTGCAGAATCACTGAACCAGAATTGATAGCTTGAAAGCATTTAGCGCGGGGCCCTTGAAAGTGAGGGGCCCGTAGCTACTACATGTGTAGCTACTACATGTAGTAGCTACACATGTAGTAGCTGCACATGTTGTAGCTACTACATGTGTAGCTACTACACGTGATGCTACTACACGTGTAGCTACTACTACACGTGTAGTAGCTATTACACAGTAGTAGTAGTAGCTACTACACGTGTAGCTACTACACGTAAAGCTATTACACGTGCAGCTACTACACGTGAAGCTACTACACGTGAAGCTACTATATATGTAGCTACTACATGTGTAGCTACTACACGTGCAGCTGCTACACGTGTAGCTACTATATGTGTAGCTACTACACGTGCAGCTACTACATGTGTAGCTACTACACGTGTAGCTACTACACGTGCAGCTGCTACACGTGTTGCTACTACACGTGTAGCTACTATATATGTAGCTACTACATGTGTAGCTACTACATATGTAGCTACTACAAGTGTAGCTACTACATGTGTAGCTACTACATATGTAGCTACTACACATGTGTAGCTACTACATGTGTAGCTACTACATGTGTAGCTACTACATATGTAGCTACTACATATGTAGCTACTACATGTGTTGTAGCTACTACTTGTGTAGCTACTATATGTGTAGCTACTACATGTGTAGTAGCTACTTGTGCTACGAGGATAATCCGGCACTGCGTGCATTTCACATGCCCTGCCAGGTGAACCAAACGCCCACAGTTCGATTCCCGACCACGGCTTTTAAACGTCAGTGGCGAGTGGTACCCGAACCGGTGACGGACCCCCCCCCCCCGCTTCACTCCCACACACCCCCACTAATAAATGAAACTG